GAACATAAGAACATAAGAAAATAAGGAGTCTGCAATAGGCCGGTTGGCCTGTGCATGGCAGCTCCTGTCGAGAGTTACTACCACTCTCTATCATCCATGAATCTATCTAGCCTCCTTTTGAAACTTTCCAGAGTTCCCGCACTTACTACAAAGTTGCTAAGCTTGTTCCATCGTCCACCACCCTATTTGTGAACCAGTTTCTTCCTATCTCCCTCCTAAACCTAAACTTATCCAAATCCGTTGCTCCGGGTCCTATCCTGCTCGGATATTATAAGAACTTTATCTATATCCCTTTATTGATTCCTTTCACCCCTTAAATACTTCTATCATATCTCCCCACTCTTCGTCTTTCTAGGGAATGCAAGTTAAGTTTCTTTAACCTATCCTGATATGGAAGGTTTCTAAGTCCCGGAATCATTTTTGTCATTCTTCGCTGCACCGACTCTAGTGAATTTATATCCATTCTATAATAGGGGCACCAGAACTGAACCGCATAATCGAGGTGCGGCCTGACTAGCGCAGATATAGTTGCAATAAGACCTCTGCACTCTTGTTACCCTCTAGATATAAAACCCAATACTCTGTTTGCCTTATTTCGAACACTAACGCACTGTTTTCTGGGCCGTAGGTCGGGCTTAAGTACCCTAGGTCTCTTTCTACAAGTCGACTTCTCTAGGTTGATGTTGTTAAGGCTGTATACGTTATAAGTATTTGTTCTTCCAATATTTAGTACGCTGCACTTGCTGGTGTTGAATTTCATTTGCCATTTTTCAGACCACCCCTGCATTTATTTAGATCCTCCTGTAATGCATTTGCATCCTGCCCTGAATTAATTTGCCGCCCTATTTTGGTGTCATCCGCAAACTTGCTTATGTCACTGCTGATCCCAGTATCTAGATCGTTTATGTAGATTATGAACAAAAGTGGGCCTAGTACCGACCCCTGGGGAACCCCACTGGTTACACGGCCCCACTCAGATTTAACACCATCTACGCTGACCCTCTGCGTTCTATCAGTGAGCCATGATTTTATCCAATTTAAAACTTTCCCCTCGATACCATGAGCCTTAATTTTTCTCAGAAGCCTCTGATGCGGTACTCTGTCAAATGCTTTGCTAAAGTATAAGTAAATAACATCGTAATTTTCGTCATTATCTACTACCTCGAAGACTTTCCTAAAAAACGTTAGCAGATTTGTTAGACAAGATTTTCCCTTTGTACACCCATGTTGAGAGTCGTAGATTAATTTGCTTTTCTTTAGATGCGATCGGATGCTATCTGCTATAATTGATTCAAGAAATTTCCCCACTACTGACGTCAAACTGATCGGCCGGTAATTTGACGCTGATGCTCTGTCTCCCTTTTTGAATATGGGTACTACATTTGCCTGTTTCCACAACTCTGGCACAACTCCAGTGTCTAATGATTTTGTAAATACGTTTACGAGGGGTCGGCTAATCTGTTCCCTACACTCTTTCAAGACTCGAGGGAAAATTTCATCCGGCCCTGGGGATTTTGTTTTCTTTAGTTTATTTATCTTCTTAAGAACATCCTCTTTTCTGATAGCGATATTCTTTAATTTCTCTTCTTCCTTTCCCTTAAATATCAGTTCCACCTCCGGAATTTCATCGCAAATTTCTTCTGTGAAAACTGATAAGAAGTAGCTGTTCAATGCTTTGCTTATTTCTCCACTGCCATTTATCAATTTTCCCCTCCCTGACTTTAAAGGCCCAACTTTGTCCTTGACCTTTGTCCTATATACCTGGAAAAATCCCTTGGGATTCGCCTTGGATTCTCTTGCTATTTTGATTTCATAGTCTCTCTTTGCTTTCCTTACATTTTTCTTAACATTCCTAGATAGTTCATTATATCTGTTTCAGAGCTGCTCCTCCCCTCCCTTTAATTTCTTATATATTCCTTTCTTTATTCCTATGTCATGTTTAAGTTTTCTGGTCATCCACCCCTGAGGGTCGTCGCTCCCCACTGAAAGGTTAAACTCTCACCGCTGTACCCGCTGGTTTGAAGTGAATGTACTCGGGAAATTATATAATTTTCTTGAAACTTTGGGGCTGACGGAAGGTTAAGCTTTTGAACTAAAGAGGAGTAAGAGAAACTGAAGGAGAATAATTATGCGTTGGTTGAGGCTTAGTTATTTTGGGGTGATTACTTTTTATTTCGTTGCCATTATAATTGATATAATTTTGAGAAATTTGTCTAGCGACTGTCATTTGTTTCATTGATTCCGTGTCACAATAAGCCATCATAAGCATGTTTAGTCGTCTATCTATCGACCTTTAATCCCGTGAGCGTGATAATCATCGTTCACCTCCGGGCGTCGCTTCTCAATTATTTAGTCAACAAACGAAGTGGCGGGTGGTGATCCGGTGTGACTCCTGCCACCAAACCAGTTCTCGAGCCAGCCAGAGAAGGATCAGGTGTACAGAAGTGGCTTCAGATCCCCTGGTGAGGAAGTCATATGTCTTCCTGATCCATTATTGTGATAGGTTCATTACCAAATCCCTTGTTTATACTTTGACTTACAGATGAATTTAACGCATCAGAAAACTCAGGAAATCATAAAAGAATATCAAGACCAAGTAAAGATGAAGGTTTAAAGTACAGGAATAACAATTCATATGTGGTTAGACTGTTCTAAAAATAGTGTAGTCCATTTACCAAGTTATGAAGAGACGTGTACAATTACGACCAAAGTTTCCTCGACACAGGACAGCATCTGGCATCTACTTACAGGTATATATGTGAACTTAGCTGATGGACGTTGTTTTTCATTATAAATTATACCGCAGCAACAACATGAATAAATTATCTATATTATACAACGAAAAATCTGAGTAAACTATTAAAAAAAAATCTGAGCGAAGTGTAGGCATACATATTTTCTGCACGGTGTGTCAGTGCAAAGTGTCAGAACGCTCCAACATGATGTTATTATCTGATCAGTGTGTCAGAGTAATGTGGCAGAACGGTGCATCACAACTTCTTATCTGAACAGTTTGTCAGGGTGGTGTGTGTCAGGAATGCATGTTAGGACGGTGAGTGTCATAACAGCGTGTCAGGGCGGTGTGTGTGTCAGGAATGCATGTTAGGACGGTGAGTGTCATAACAGCGTGTCAGGGCGGTGTGTGTCAGGAATGCATGTTAGGACGGTGAGTGTCATAACAGCGTGTCAGGGCGGTGTGTGTCAGGAATGCATGTTAAGACGGTGAGTGTCATAACAGTTTGTCAGGGCGGTGTGTGTCAGGAATGCATGTTAGGACGGTGAGTGTCATAACAGCGTGTCAGGGCGGTGTGTGTCAGGAATGCATGTTAGGACGGTGAGTGTCATAACAGCGTGTCAGGGCGGTGTGTGTCAGGAATGCATGTTAGGACGGTGAGTGTCACCAACAGCTTGTCTGAGAGGTGTGTCAGGAATGCATGTTAGGACGGTGAGTGTCATAACAGCGTGTCAGGGCGGTGTGTGTGTCAGGCTCACGGTCACAGCCAAGACACCGGGGTCTCGCTCAAGTGACGTGGTGACGTTCCCGAGTGTTGCTGGTGATTGACAGGTGGTGTAAGATGGTGCAGGTGACTGATGGGCGATAAGGGGTGGTGATAATGGCAAGGCGTAACTGAGGGTTGTGACTGGTAGGTGGTAGGGGTGAGTGGTTGTGACTGGTAGGTGGTAGGGGTGAGTGGTTGTGACTGGTAGGTGGTAGGGGTGAGTGGTTGTGACTGGTAGGTGGTAGTGGTGAGTGGTTGTGACTGGTAGGTGGTAGTGGCGAGTGGCTGTGACTGGTAGGTGGTAGTGGTGAGTGGTTGTAACTGGTAGGTGGTGGTGGTGTGTGGTTGTGACTGGTAGGTGGTAGTGGTGAGTGGTTGTGACTGGTAGGTGGTAGTGGTGAGTGGTTGTGACTGGTAGGTGGTGGTGACTGGTAGGTGGTGAATGGTGGTGACTTGACAGGTGTCGCTCAATAAGCCGGAAAAAAGATATTTAATTATTACATTAAAGACGATATTACCAGCGGGTCTCCCTCTTACCTGGTGCTGTCGTCTCCCAGGTAACAAGTTTAAGTTAGCACAGGTAAAGTTAGTACAGGTTAAGTGAGGTCACACCTGGCTCTGATTAGGTCAGGTTGTGTTGGAATGGATGTGATGGGATGGGTTAGGTTAGGTTTCGTTAGATTAAGTTAGGAGAGGTTAGGTTTGGTTGGATGAGGTTGAGCTAGGTTGATCTGGGCTAGGGTAGGCTAGATTAGGTTAGGTTAGTTACGGTTAAGTTATGTTATTTAAGGTAAGGTTTGATTAGGTTAGGTTAGTTTAGTTTTTATATAGGCTAGGATGGGTTTTAATTTAATTTTGTTTAGGTTGTATTAGATTGGGTTAGGTTAGGATAGGATAGGTTAAGTTAGGTTAAAGACTGAGTCATCCTCACTTACACAGCTTCATCAAACGAGACAAAACGTGTTAAAATATTGGCCATGTACTGAGTAGACCTGAACAACACAGTACCACTCACACCTCTCAGGCTCTCACCACCTACGAGGGGTCCGGACATATTTCCATCTATACGTCTGAATTCATAAAAGTTCGGATTGAAGACTCGGGGAAGAACGTCTTTAAGAATCAGTGGCGAACGAGATTCTTATGATGCTGCAAGACTCGGGGAAGAACGTCTTTGAGAATCAGTGGCGAACGAGATTCTTAAGATGCTGCGACTAAGTTTCTTTAAGACCAAGACAAAATATATATTGCAGTTATTTGTGATATTAATACTTACAACCCCTTTACTTAACTTTACATAATACAACTACCCAAGATCCCACATTACCACAATATCCTTCAAAATCACACGAACTTCATAAACATGTTACAAGTACATAACATTACATGGACAGATAATACAGCGCATTACGTCGTCGTGTACATAAACTCGTAGTAAGTAAAGTCAACTATTGAATTTACTTAAGATTTCAGAAAACTCACCCCGTATTCCTCCTGCAGGCACGAGGACCTAGCTGACGATGGACGTGGGCGTTGAGGATGCTGGAGGCGGTGAAGGTGTTGTTGAGGGTGGCGTTGAAGAAAGCACAGAGACCAACGCCCCCAAACCTGAGAGACCCAAGTTCCTGAACGTGAACACCGAGGACGTCCTGGACCAACCCGTGGGCTGGCAGGGATGGGCCAAGGGCATCGCCTTCGTCGTGATGTGGTAAGGGCGCCTCCCACCTCCTCCTGCAAGGTGGAAAAGTTGTATGTCAGTCATTATTATATACCTTTAGTGTTAGAACAAATGCTCTTAACCTAGCAAGAATACTTACAACACAATGCATGTAAATAAACGGGTACAGTACTTGACTGTATATGACTGTAAGAGTTAAATATGTATCTAGCGCATCTAACTGTGTTTTCTGGAGTATAATCTGTTTAGGAACTACGAATTAATATTAACTAAATTGCTCCACTCATCAGATTACTGGTCAGTCTGTTCTATGTTACGACCTACATTGTCCAGTGTTAGTGTCCGTACAGGAGGAAACAAGTGTACCTGGAGAAAACTTGCCATGTTTGGTAGGGTGACACCAGGTAATTCTCTTCTCACATGTGACCCAGGCCAGGAGTTAAACCCGGGACATAATGTGAGGCACGCGTGTTACCGCTGTGGTGATTGCAAATGATTTCGTTTCACAAGATGATTAAATATATATTATTAAAGCCTGTCTCGGCTATTATGGTTAATTTGATATTTTTCTCATACAATTCCACGTGCTTTAATCATTCCTTATGCAAATACTTACCTCATTTAATTTGAAAATGTTTAAAAAGGGAAACCTCATCTTAAATATTTTACTGCGTCCCTCTAGCCTGAAGACACAAACACACACAGATTATTACACTGGCCACAGGTTACAGTTTCTCTAAGGCTGCAAGGCTTCACAAAACTGTTTATTGCATCATTGTTCGAGTTGTGTAGTGATCTACTGAAATAGTGTCTGAAGAAAGAATATCCACAGTCACAATTAACACACACACACACACACACACACACACACATTATTATTATTATTATTACACACATCCACGTTCAGGAGCGGCAGGACGCACCTGAAGAACTCGCAGGAAAAGATAGGGAATACAGTATTGGTACTTGCTGCCGATTGGCTGAAATAATTAGATTTTAAAATTTCCTCGACGCTCATTATCTGATCAGTAATGACCACTTACGATGGCACCTCAGGCCTGATAAAAAAATATAAATGCTATCAATATTACTTACATATTAGTCTGGAAAAAAACTTTTAGACATACGTTCATGAGTAATATTTTTTCGCTAAGACTTTCTACACTATACTTGTTTAAATTGTTGAGACAGACTTTATCATGTACAGTTTGCTCCACCCCGCGTTTACCACTTAAGAGTTGCCAACCCTCTCTCTCCCTGAGCTGTGAACCTTGAACTCCGAAGTGTGAATTCGAAACATTCCCTAGTGATCGGGAGGGAGAGGAGAGGGGGGGTGTCGGGGTAGGTGTCTCTGTGGGGGAGGGGGGGGGGAGACGTGAGGACGTGTACTGTATATTAGATGGGAGAGATTAAAATGCAAGATAACGCTTTTACAATACCGACGGAGTTTCCTCAACCGAGTATAATCGTCTCGCGCTAGTCATTTTTTTTACCCATTTAACCTCACTGTTTGAAACAACTGAACTATGTTGTTTGCTGATTCTATACCGGACAGCTGCCAACTGAACTATTTTGTTAACATCATGTTTGTATTACAATAAATATGTGGTACCCACTTCCCGACTGCTTTCAATGCTAATTAATCGCTTCAGTACAATGTGTTCATATTTATTTTATTCTGGCTACCGACAGACGATTTTATTCAACTGGGAAGTTCCATTTCCTAGTCAAGGGATTAAACAAATCTTCGCTGCTTCTACAGGATATGGAATCAAACAATTATAATTAATTTGCCCATAAATGCCATATTTTGCTAAGGAACACCTTACTTGGAACATGAATTCATCCCATTGTAACTTTAGTATTTTCATCTGGCTAGTGCTAGACGATAATGCACCTTTTCACATATCCGTTGAGACATTGTTACATAACTATTTGACAAATTTCATAACCGAATGACACAACACATATCGAATGACAATCTAAAATAACTGTTCGTTCATGCTAATGGAAGTGATTGACCTAAGTTATGAAGTTGACAGACGTGAACAATAAACCGACAGTCTACATATAGTTTGAGAATGTAACAATTGGAGAATGACATACCACCAACAGTTATTTTAGATTGTCATTCGATATGTGTTCTGTCATTCGGTTATGAAATTTGTCAAATAGTTATGTAACAATGTCTCAACGGATATGTGAAAAGGTGTACTAAGTGTAGGAAACCCCGTTGGTATTGCCAAAGCGTTATCCTGCACTGTAATGTGTCCCAGCTGATATACACTTTGTTCTCAACCCAAGTATTCCGTCTCACCCCCAACATAACCCGACCCTTTCCCTCCCGCTTACAAGTGAGAGTTCAGGGAGAGAGGATTGGCACCGCTAAGTGATAAACGCAGGGGTGGAACCAACTGTCCAGTATTGGTGTAATTACAAGATCAGCAGCACCCCTGTTAATAGTGCACAAAAGCATCCATGTAAGTTTTCTTTGTTAAAACGACACAAATTTACTACAAAGCTTGAGCTACAATGCACTGTAAATCTCTTGTTTAAATTACCGAGATACTTTTTATTTTGTCAGCGTTAAAGGTCAACTATTCTACATCCCTTGCTTACATGCACCACAACAAATTTTTCACTAATCAGTAAAAACTCACATTTTTTTCTTCCTTACATAATACTGCCTTAAGTTTCCTGTGAATATCGTACTGTATTGTATTACGAGATAACTATAATAACCAATACTTTTTCGTGTTCTCAGGTACGGGTCGATACTGATGGGGTTCTTCTCCCTGTACTGCCCCGCCCTGCCGCTGCTCTTCATCTCCCGCCGCATCTACAGGAGGACCACCGAGGTCGTCTTCACCATGTGGGAGAGCTACGCCGTGGTCAGTCTCTCTCACTCACCTCGTCACCATTCGTCAAGAAGTTAACCAAAGTCATTAACAAAAGATCACTTGGGGTTTACAGAGGTCAATAGAGGCTAAATAAGGCTGGTTAATGGTTAACATAGGTCATTACGGAATAAAAACATCACTGGGAGTTAACAAAGGTCACTGGGAGTTAATAAGCTTCAATGATAACTAACAAATGTCACTGGGAGTTAACAAAGATCACTGAGTTAACAAAGGTCACTGAGTTAACAAAGATCTCTCGAGTTTAACAAAGGTCACTGATAGTTAACATAGGTCACCAAGGGTTAACAAACATCACTAGGCCCAAGGTTAACAACAGTTTCCTCAGCGTACAATCTATGTTACATAAGGTTATTCTAAATTACATCCAGGTTTTCCCTAGTCACCCTCGAGTCCCTGACCCCTCGAGCACCCTGTCTTACCCTTAACACCATTCTACCTCAGCCTCGCCTTACCTCATCCTCCCTCTACCTCACCCTCACTCTACCTCATCCTCACTCTACCTCACCCTCCCTTTCTCACCCTCCCTCTACCTCACCCTCACTCTACCTCACCCATCAATTTACTCCCACCTCCCTCTACCTCACCCTCACTTACCTCACCCATCAATTTACCTCACCCTCACTCTACCTCACCCTCCCCACCTCACCCCTCACTCTACCCCACCCCACCCCTACCTCACCCTCCCCCACCTCACCTCACTCTACCTCACCCTCCCTCTTTCTCACCCTCACTCTACCTCACCCTCCCTCTACCTCAATCTCACTCTACCTCACCCATCAATTTCCCTCACCCATCAATTTACCTCCCCACCCTCACTCTACCCCACCCTCACCTCCCTCACCTCACTCTACCTCACCCATCAATTTACTCCCCACCCTCACTCTACCTCACCCATCAATTTACTCCCACCTCACCACCTCTCACTCTACCTCACCCTCACTCTTCATCCACCTCCCCACTCCCCTCACCCTCACTCCACCCTCACCCCTCACTCTACCTCCTCACCTCCCCCACTCCCCATCCTCCCCCATCCTCATTCCCCACTCTACCCTCACCCCACCCACCCCTTCACCTCACCCACCTCACCCTCCCCCATCCCACCCTCCCCCCTTCACCCTCCCCCTCCCTCACCCCCCATCTCACCCTCCCTCTACCTCACCCCTCCCCTCTACCTCACCCTCCCTCACCCCTCACCCTCCCCACCTCACCCATCAATTCCACTCCCCACCCTCACTCCACCTCACCCTCACTCTACCTCACCCCTCCCTCTACCTCATCCTCCCTCTTCATCCCTCCCACCTCATCCCCACTACCCTCACCTTCACTCTACCTCACCCTCCCTCTACCTCACCCTCCCCCATTTTCACCCCACTCTACCTCACCCTCACCCCTACCTCACCTTCCCCCACCTCACCCTCACTCTACCTCACCCTCCTCTCTTTCTCACCCTCCCCTCTACCTCACCCTCCCTCTACCTCACCTCCACTCTACCTCATCCCCACTCTCACCTCACCTTCTCACTCTACCTCACCCTCCCCCACCTCACCCTCCCTCTACTCCACCTCACCTCACCCTCCTCTACCTCACCCTCCCTCTTCCCTTAAAGAACAGTTCCTCTCATACCTCCAAACTGTCACCATCCATCTACCTTCCTCTCTCTTCTCCTCCCATTAACTTTTATTATCCTTCTCCTTGTACCCTCTCTCCGTCGGTCCTCATTATCATGTCTGTCCTCCCATCTTCCTATCTCTTTCTCTCACATGTTTCTCATTCTTTCTCTCTATGACTTTACGTTTTCCTCATTTACTTTATAAATTCAATATGTCCTCTTTAAGATAACCCTTCATTATTATTATCTCTCTATGTTTTAAGAGATCTCTCATTATCTCTCTCCTTACCTTTATCATCTTCGTGTCTCTACCACCAAACGCAACTTCAAAAGATTTCCATCTCCCAATTTTTAGTCATCTCTCCTATACCAACATCACAAACACCTGTCTTATTCTCCCTCTCTTCTCTCACCATCATCATCTCCTCTCTTACCTCATTATCATCAAATCGTCATTATAGGTTTTTGTAACCCCGTTCTGCTCAGCGTAAACACGAGACGATTTTTACGCTCATAAGAGAACCTCTCCACGAATTGTTTACACAGCCGAGGGAAGACGGAACACGTGACTCCTCTGTCCCTTCGACTCGGGTGTACGGTACAGACGTGACATACCACAGGAGCTCACTGTCTTTATGTTACGAGAGTGAAACTGACAGACAGACGTTTCTATACGCATGACGGCCCCCGCTATACTAGGCTTTGCAAAACATTGTACAGAATACGGAACTAAGCCTTACAACTAAGGCTTCGGTTCAGAGGCAACGTGTCCGCCACTGCCCTGTACCGCCTTTACTTCCCCAATTAGAAGGTTGGCGACTTATTTCCAGCCAAGTATACTGGTAGGACCTCATGATTGAGCAAGCCCACCCCCCCCTCCTTTGAACGGGACGCAAGCATTTTATCCACTTTGCCGCTTTGCTCCTTACAATATATTAATATCCACTTCGATTATGTGGTTTGACGGAGATAATTATTTACCTTAGTACTTTCCTTTAAATGAAACTATATGAAATTATACACAACTTTCGTTCACCACTGGAGTAAACATCATTCAAAAAGTTTCAAATATGAAGTGTTAGGGAACCACAGCTATTAGAATTGTACAAGATTTTCGGTACAAGTTGTAAATCTCATAAAAGTGTTGTTGATGGATCATTAGGTCAGATAACAGGTATATCATGACCTTAATTGACACCCTTTATCATTAAAACACTTCAGTAACATAAAGAGTAAAAACAATTACCTCTCTTGGCAGGCGCTGATGGAGGTGGTGTACGGGGTGAGGTTTTTCGTGTCTGGGGACGTGATCAGACCCCAAGAGACGTCCATCCTCCTCCTCAACCACAGGAACCGCCTCGACTGGAACTTCTTCTGGGGCGCCCTGGCTCACGGCACCTCCCCGCCAGCCCACAACTGTAAGATCGTCCTCAAGTCCGGCATCAGGAAGTTCCCGGGGCTTGGAGGACGTCATGGCTCTGGTAGTCGTTTACACAGAGAACCTGATGAGGGTGTAGAATAAATTTCATTAGATAAAATTAAGTATAGACAGATATAGATAGATGTGAAGAAAGATAGATAGAAAGAAAGAAAAGAAAGAAAGAAAGAAAGAAAGAAAGAGAGAGAGAGAGAGAGAGAGAGAGAGAGAGAGAGAGAGAGAGACAGACAGATTAGAATAGAAGTCACACATAAAAAAATACACGAGAAAGAGAAAAAGAGATTGGAAATATTTATTGGTGACGGGAGGTGCCAAGTAGGTGATTTCTGAACGGTTCCTGAAGGTTTAATGGTTTGGAACTCCAATATTTACATATATAACGTCACATAGGAACAAATTATTGGAGCTATCATCTAACAGTAAAAAAAATAAAATAAAAATAGTCTTATCTTTACGTCACGAACTTAGAACTGTCAAGATCGATAACAGAAACACGATTTGTTATAATTATAGGATTACTTATCGCCTTAAGTCACAGATTTATATTGATCCAGGAGTTAGAAGTATTTATCTATATCTCTCTCTCCACTATTTATCTCTTATATTCTCTATATTTCTCTCTTCTCTTAGTCTGTATATCTGTGTTCTACATGCGGTATATTTATTTATCTTTTCCGTGTCTGTCTGTCTGTCACGCCAAAGGCTCAACAGTCACAATAGAGAAAATCACAAATATTTGATTGGAGCAAATACAAAACAAAAGATATAAAGAACTTAAAACAACATACCTAAGCCTATTTTAAAACTATTTACAAACGTATTTCCACTTTATCAATTAATAAAACAAATCATGACGGGAGGATTGAGTAATGGCGGACGGTGACTAAAACCACGAAGCAAGAAAAGCACAAAATGCTCACATTGACTTTTCATAACGAACCTGCCATGTAAACACTGCCTATAATCATACACTAAACATGCCAAGACACTTCACAACTAACAATAATTGTATTATGGTGAAGTAGCAATGAGCAGCACTACAAAATAACAAGTTTCCTGGGAACTGAGTACCACACAGCTAGTCCTGCCGACGCCTGTCACTGATTCATAGGTTCCAAACATACACACGAAACTAATATTATTCATAACACTCAACTTACATTACACAATAATCACAGCGCCTAAAATAAAACATATATTATACAGTATAAACTAATAAAACATAATACAAATTAATAAATAGAAAATGTAACTAAAAAAGGAAACTCGACCAAATCAAGTTTCACAAAGTCGATTACCGATTCGAACCTAAACAAAGCAGCATTGCATAACACTGTCCGTCTGTTGTCTGTCTCTTATCTGCGTTATCTCCCAAGCACATATATAACACCACTCGTTTCTCAATATCTGTCAATCTCACTGTGCTTTATCTCTGTCTATCATCTCTGCCTTATCTCTCTCTCATCAATCTTTTTCTCTCGGGACCGCAATTAATATACGAGTCATCCAGCACCCAGCCTTATCCTTCATCGTCGTCTCTCTCTCTCTCTCTCTCTCTGGCCAGGATGGATCATGCAGATGTCGTGTTTCCTGTACATTCGTCGTCGGTGGGAGGACGACCAGCGGCTTATGAACAACGTCCTCGACTATTTCAGCGACATTGACCACACGTTCCAGGTTAGTGTGTGTGTGTGTGTGTGTGTGTGTTTAGCTATATGTATGAGTCAAGTATTAACTCTCAATACACATCACCCAAACACCCTACAGACCACCCATACACCCTACAGACCACCCATACACCCTACAGACCACCCATACACCCACAGTCCACCCATACACCCTACAGTCCACCCATACACCCTACAGACCACCGATACACCTCAGTCCACCCATACACCCTACAGGTCACCCACAACCTACAGTCTACCCATACACCTTACAGACCACCCATACACCCTACAGATCATCCATACACCCTACAGACCACCCATACACCCTACAGACCACCCATACACCATAAGAACCACACACCCTACAGGCCATCCATACACTCTACAGACCACCCATACACCCTACAGTCCAACCCATACACCGTACAGACCACCCATACACCCTATAGACCACCCATACCTACAGACCACCCATACACCCTACAGACCACCCACACCCTACAGACCACCCATACACCCTACAGATCATCCACTTCCCTACAGACACCCATACACCCTACAGACCACCCATACCATACAGACCAACCACATACCCTACAGACCATCCATACACTCTACAGACCACCCATACACCTGCACAGACCAACCATACACCCTACAGGCCATCCATACCTCTACAGACCACCCATACACCCTATATAGACCACCATACACCTACAGATCACCCATACACCTACAGACCACCCATACCTACAGACCACCATACACCCTACAAACCACCCCTGCCCCTACACCTATACCTACAGACCACCCACTTACCCTACAGACCACCCATACACCCTACAGTCCAACCCATACACCATACAGTCCAACCCATACACCGTACAGACCACCCATTCACCCTACAAACCACCCCCTACACCTGACCCACCTATACACCCTACAGACCACCCATACCTACAGACCACCCACCACCCTACAGTCAACCCATACACCATACAGACCACCCATACACCCTACAGACCACCCATACACCTGACCACCCATTCACCCTACAAACCACCCACCACACCCTACAACCACCCATACACCCCTACAGACCACCCATACACCCACAGACCACCCATACACCTAGACACCCATACACCCTACAGACCACCCATACACCCTACAGACCACCCATACACCCTACAAACCACCCATTCACCCTACAGACCACCCATACACCCCCAGACCACCCATACCCTACAAACCACCCCATACACCCTACAGACCACCCATACACCTATAGACCACCCATACACCTACAGACCACCCATACACCCTACAGACCACCCTTACACCTACAGACCACCCATACACCCTATAGACCACCATACACCCTTTATATCATCCATACACCCTACAGACCACCATACACCCCTACAGACCACCCACCACCTACAGACCACCCATACACCTATAGACCACCCATACACCCTTTATATCATCATACACCCTACAGACCACCCATACACCTACAGACCACCCATACACCCTACAGACCACCCATACACCCTATAGACCACCCATACACCCTTTATATCATCCATACACCCTACAGACCACCCATACACCCTACAGACCACCCATACACCCTACAGACCATCCATACACCCTACATATCATCCATCACCCTACAGACCACCACTACACCCTACATATCATCCATGAACAAGTAATACGTGGATGATACTTATATAAATAGATGATACATGGATGATAACTTATATAAACAGGTGATACATGGATGATAACTTATAAACAGGGTGATACATGGATGATAACTTAAATAAACAGGGTGATACATGGATGATAACTTCTATAAACAGGGTGATACATGGATGATAACTTCTATAAACAGGGTGATACATGGATGATAACTTCTATAAACAAGGTTATACATGGATGATAACTTCTATAAACAAGATGATACATGGATGATAACTTCTATAAACAGGGTGATACATGGATGATAACTTCTATAAACAAGGTTATACATGGATGATAACTTACATAAACAGGGTGATACATGGATGATAACTTACATAAACAGGGTGATACACATTTACGTTAGGAAGTATAAAATTCAAGTTGTGTGAGATAACTGATAATGGTTGGGTGGTAAACAAACGCTACCTCGCTTGGGTTAATTATCTTATGTGTAGTGTCCCGTTAACCTCGTGTTGTTAGGCATTCTTAACACACACCTGACTGTAACTAGACACGATGGTGAATATGTGCATTATGTATGTAGGGTGTATGGATGTGTAGGGTGTATGGATGATATGTATAGGGTGTATGGATATGTAGGGTGTATGAGTGATATGTATAGGGTGTATGGGTGATATGTATAGGGTGTATGGATATGTATAGGGTGTATGGATATGTAGGGAGGTATAAGTATATGTATAGGTGTATGGATATGTAGGGTGTATGTATGGGTGATATGTATAGGGTGTATGGATATGTATAGGGTGATATGTAGGTGTATGGATATGTATAGGGTGTAAGTGGATATGTAGGGTGTATGGGTGATATAGTGTATGGGTGTATATGTATAGGGTGTATATGTATAGGGTGTATGGATATGTAGGTGTATGTATGGTATAGGGTGTATGGATATGTAGGGTGTATGGGTGATATGTATAGGTGTATGGATATGTAGGGTGTATGGGTGATATGTATAGGTGTATGTATGGATATGTATAGGGTGTATGGATATGTATAGGGTGTGGGTATGTAGGTGTATGGGTGATATGTATAGGGTGTATGGATATGTAGGGTGTATGGGTGATATGTATAGGGTGTATGGGATATGTAGGGTGTGTATGGGTGATATGTATAGGGGTGTATGGATATGTAGGGTGTATAAGATATGTATAGGGTGTATGGATATGTATAGGTGTATGGATATGTAGGTGTATATAGATATGTATAGGGTGTGGATATGTAGGGTGTATGGGTGATATGTATAGGGTGTATGGATGTAGGGTGGCGGGTGATATGTATAGGGTGTATGGATATGTAGGGTGTATGGGTGATATGTATAGGGTGTATGGATATGTAGGGTGTATGGGTGATATGTATAGGGTGTATGGATATGTAGGGTGTATGGATGATATGCATAGGGTGTATGAATGATATGTGTAGGGTGTATGGATGATGTGTAGGGTGTATGGATGATATGTATAGGATGTATGGATGATGTGTAGGGTGTATGGGTGATGTGAAAGGTGTATGGATGATATGTATAGGGTGTATGGATGATATGTATGTATGGGTGATATGTATAGATGATATGTAGGGTGTATGGATGATATGCATAGGGTGTATGTGATATGTGTAGGGTGTATGGATGATGTGTAGGGTGTATGGATGATATGTATAGGATGTATGGATGATGTGTAGGGTGTATGGGTGATGTATGTATGGATGATATGTATAGGGTGTATGGATGATATATAAGGTGTATGGATGATATGTATAGGGTGTATGGATGATGTGTAGGGTGTATGTATGATATGTAAGGTGTATGGATGATATGTATAGGTATGGATGATATGTATAGGGTTATGTAATGATATGTATAGGGTGTATGGATGATATATATAGGGTGTATGGATGATATATATAGGGTGTATGGATGATATATATAGGTGTATGGATGATATATATAGGTGTATGGATATGTATAGGGTGCATGAATGATATGTATAGGGTGCATGAATGATATGTGTGGGGTGTATGGATGATATGTGTGGGGTGTATGGATGATACGTATAGGGTGTATGGATGATGTAGGGTGTATGGATGATGTGTAGGGTGTGTATGGATGATATGTGTAGGGTGTATGGATGATATGTGTAGGGTGTATGGATGATATGTGTAGGGTGTATGGATGATACGTATAGGGTGTATGGATGATATGCGTAGGGTGTATGGATGATACGTATAGGGTGTATGGATGATGTGTAGGATGTATGGATGATGTGTAGGGTGTATGGATGATACGTATAGGGTGTATGGATGATGTGTAGGATGTATGGATGATGTGTAGGGTGTATGGATGATGTGTAGGGTGTATGGATGATGTGTAGGGTGTATGGATGATGTGTAGGGTGTATGGATGATGTGTAGAGTATTACCTGTTTCTATAATTGTCATCCTGTTTATATAAGTTATCATCCATGTATCACCTGTTTATATAAGTATCATAGGTAGTAGGTATTAGGCAGCTACCAAACAGGGAGGTACTATCGCCTGGGAAGATATTGGAAGCATAATGTGTTGTCTAATGGTAGACCCTGCTGCCATATGTGACCAAGTCCCAGGTTGCTGATCTGACTTTCTGCCTCATTTACACACAATTGCAGGGTCTCAATTGTTTCTCTTACTATTGACAACACAACATACATATATTGTTTCTCACTATTGATTTTTTTTCATTTTGTATTTCTTTATGGTTCTTTATTATTATTATTATTATTATTATTATTATTATTATTATTATTATATTTTCGCCCCCTAGGCCCCGATGTGGGTCAGTGACCTGTGCCTGGGTGGGCTAATCCCCGTAAAAAAAAAGAGTATCTCCTGTTTAAATACCATCCATGCATCACCTGTTTATATAAGTATCATCCACATGTCACCTGTATATATAACTATCATCCAAGTATCACCTGTTTATATAAGTATCATCCAAGTATCACCTATTTATATAAGTTATCATCCATGTATCACCTGTTTATATAAGTATCATCCACATGTCACCTGTATATATAACTATCATCCAAGTATCACCTGCTTATATATCATCCATGTATCACCTGTTTATATATCATCCATGTATCACCTGTTTATATAAGTATCATCACGTATCCCACATTATCCGTGTCCCCCGCCTCCAGGTGTTGCTGTTCCCCGAGGGCACCAACCTCACGCCGGAGACGCAGAAGAAGAGTGAGGAGTTCGCCAGGAAGGCCGGACTACCCAGCCTCAGCAACCTCCTCCACCCCCGCACCACCGGCTTCACCTACCTGGTCAACAAACTGAGAAATAGTGAGGAACTCTTCCCTTTTACTCACCCTTACGCCTCTCCCTCGTCAATAAGCTTAGACCCTCCCTTACTCTTCCTCACTCACCTTCCTCATCAATAGGCTGAGAAACCTCCCCCTTACTCCAAATTCAGATATAAGCTGAGAAACACCCACTAACACTCCCCTTATACCCATCGCTCTCCGCCAGAAAAATACAATGATAAGGAAAAAATCCCTTACTCACTCACCCATTACCCCTCTCTCTCAACAAGCCGAGAAACAATGATAAATCCTCCGCTTACTCACCACCTTCGTCAATATGCTGAGAAACCCACCTCCCTTATTCTCTATTACTCACTACCTTCCTCACCAACACTCATTACTCTCTCTCTCTTTCTCCTTGTTTACCAAAAAAATCTCTATCCCACCAACTAACCTAAATGTTCCTTCCCTACTTCAAATACTCATTGTGTCCTCTTGTAAACAAAATCCGTTCTTAATTTACACTTTTTACTTCTTTATTTACTCGCTGTATCAACTAATCTACTCCTCCTTATTTAATTTGTTTACTTTTTTTCTTAATTATTTTTTTGTTATTATTAAGCACCAATTTTTTACGCTTCACACATTATTTCCCACAGCGTTTATTATTATTATTATTATTATTATTATTATTATATTTTTTGGCATCTCCTTCTGAACAACAACACCTCTCACTTTCCCTCCCTCTCTCCTTCCTTCTCTCCCTCTCCCTCACCCTCCTTCCCTCTCAGCTGATCTATATATATATCTACAAGTGAACAACAACATCTCCCACTCTCCCTCTCAGGTCACTCACCTACTGCATGTTTCTCCCAGTTGATAAAATCTTGTATCAGTTATATCAGACAAACTTAAGTTATTAAAAATGTCACTCGTAACAGGATTTTCTTACCAACGACGTATTGAATAATTAATGCAGAAAAGTCATGCTATAAAACAGGAGGAAAATTCCCATCACCTTAAGATTAAACACCATAGATTATCTCACTTGAAGATTAAACAAAGTAAGCCAAGTTAATTTAATCTTCCCTAACCTAACTTGAGCCCCCTAGGTTATATTAGACTGGTTTAATCTTCAGGTGAAATAAGTTTGGGTGTCTAATCTTCAGTTGATCCGAAAACTATCTAAACAAAATCCGTAGGCTTTCATATAAAATAAATGTATTAAGAAATGTGCACTAAAAGTCGTGCCAAAAAATGTGATGACGATGACCTTGTGTGGCTGAGCAGGGCTGAAAGCGACAGCTGTGGGTCCGACAGGTGAATGACTCGAGGCGTCAATGAACACCTGTTGGCTAGGCAGGTGTGGCTGACTAATCAAAACCGACAGGCTTAGGTCAGGTCAGGTTAGGTTAAGATAGGTTAAGATAAGTTAAGATAAACCAAGTCCTCTGGTCAACAGGATTAGACCTGAGAAAAGACAACCCTTGATGACCTCTCATTAACCTGACCTCTGGCCCCCTGGATCTGTATATGACTTGAGATAATAACATTGAACTGAGTGACATGGGATATCTATGAGCGACCCAGGATGACCTCTCACTGACCGAACCTACTACTCCCTCAGGCGAGCAGCTCGACGCGGTGTACGACGTGACAGTGGCCTACCCGAAGACGCTGCCCCTCACTGAAATAGACCTGCTTAAGGGCCGCATGCCAGAGGAGGTCCACTTCCACATTAAGAGGTAAGGCGCTGGCTAATGATTTAATGTGTCCAGCAAGATGAGAGTTGGTTACTGATAATACCGCTTAAAGAAATTACATGAAGGTGATTCATATGGCCTTCCAAAAGTACCCGCGTGAGCCTTCAATGTCCATGTCTCTTCACACATACAGTATATTCAAGGGCCGCCAAGGTGTTGTTGATACACTATTTTAACTATGGTTATTCCCGTCATAATTATGTAATTAATATTTCAAGCTTTCAAAATTCTTCAACGTGGCCGAGAGAAACCTGTTTAATATCCTTCTTGTTGTGAGTTAAGTAACTCGGGCTACATCGCTCCCTCATTCCTCAATATCATCAAGGCCTATTTACACTACCCATCACGTATCGGTAACATCACGGATCGGAAACGGTCCTTCAAAATTTCTTACATGTAATCAAATGGAGCTGTTCACACCTAACCGGCACGTCACCGTCACGTATCGGTTCGGTTCGGTTCCGTCTCGGTATCTCCAGGAGAATATTTTGACGTGATGAAACGTTTCCATACCGAACCGTTTCCGATACGTTATGGATGGTGTGAACAGACACGAGGTCAGTTACGTCAGGCGGGAGGGTCTACAGCTTGAGATAGTCCTAGTTGATGTATTCACGTTTGTTTCACATCATGGACGAACAGCTAATTGAACTGGTTCGCAGATGTTACCGATACGTGATGGATAGCGTGAATCGGCCTTATTAAAACATCACCTTTATGATGCCTTCAGCAGCCAGGAATTACTGCATCTGTACTTTATAGTTTTGCAGGTATGTTCAGCTTACTTTTCGTGTTGAACGCACCACCCTGATTATCATTACTCGACAGAAATTACGTATATTAAAATATAATCTTGTCCTGATATTGTTAAATAATCTATACAATGTCCCCGGGCGACAGACACCACGCTAGCAGTCTGCCGCAGACGGACGAAGGGCTCAAAGCGTGGCTGGGCGACGTGTGGGTGGAGAAGGACGAGCTACTAAGGACTACCCTCAAGCAGGGTCACTTTCCAGGGTGTACTGCTGCTGCCCCTCACCCACCCCTCAATTCCTCCTACCTCTCCTTCCTCTTCTGGACGCCACTCACCATAGGTCAGTCTCAGTGCTGCTCTTCTAGGCGCCAGGTAAACCCCCTTCAGTCTATGTCTGCCACACTGTTTTTTTAATGCCTTTCGCGCACTTATACACAAATACCTCTAAAGAAATAGGACGGTATACACAACAAAGTAGCGCCGGACGTACGTAAACACCTAACTGTGTATACCATCGGCCAGCAACCCACCCTGTTTCTCTCTATACATAAATAGTTCCGATGTCTTAAAATGTTTTAGAAATTCAAATAGACTGTAGAATCTTCAAACCCACCTGGACCACACAGAGTAAGCAAGTCGACACAGGTCAATTTTAAGATTGTTTTCTTGTCACTTGGCCCGTGTTGTGGTGGAGGAAGTACTACAGTATATCTAGGTCTACCCAACACCCAGGTTGAATTTTTAAGAATTTTACTGTCTATTTACGTTTTGTCAACATAAATTAGTAACTCCCATACTGTAATGTTTGTTTTCAATATAAAGTCCATAGAAAAAGGGCTGTTATTGAAGTTGATTGAAATCTTATAAATCACTGACAAGTGAATGTTGACATTAGGCTACTCAATAGCCAAGTGTTATAATCGTATACTGTGCGGGTATGTACTGTATAGCTACGTTAACTACCATATCTTCTTCAGGTATGGCGTACCTGTTGTGCACGTGGTGGGTGGTACAGCTGTGGTGTTTCGCCCACACAGTGTTCTTCACAGTGGTCTCCTTCGCCACAGACGGCCTGCAGCACCTTGAGGTGTGGCTGCACCGCCGGGAGGAAGCGAGACTCAGGAAGCCACAATGAAGCCACAACACATTTGTAACTTCCAGTCATCGATCATAAGCTATATATATTTTATATATTGAGAGCTATTTATAATTTGTAAATACTGTATAAATAGTAACCATGTGCAGAAACATATAAAATAAACTAGTAGTGAAAATACTTTAGTAAACGTAAGACTCGCTGGACTGCAAAATTTATTGAGAAATAACGCAGCAGCAAGGACAACGGTAACCAGAAGTTCCACACCAACATCTGCCTCACCTGTACCTATTGTTGCCTTGAGATAATACACTATGGCCAGGGGTAAACAGAGATGAAAGGTGAGATATATGTAGTGAGGAGGAGAGGCGGTAATGTATAGGCTGTTCCCTCGTCTCCGTCACCCACCCACCCATCCTAATTATTGTATTCACTGGAGATATACGACTAGATGAATGTAGGAAGGCCAAGTTACTAGGGGTTGTCAGGTCTGTTGATTTAATCTATACTGCAAAAACTGACATTTGATCTTGATGAGGTTAATATAAAACGCGTACCAGGTTCCTTGGGGTTAAATGGTCATAATTGAAGTGACTTACACCTGTTCAGTGTTTTTACAGCTTAGGATGTTTATTCGTGCCATACAGTATATAAACAGTTTATCACAAGTGAACGTTTTTTACTAACTGACACCTGAAATTATCACCGTGGATAGTAACTCGGGGCACACATGAATTTATTATAGTTGGACATTTTTTTAATCTAATGATGTATCTCAATAGGTGTCAGCTTTTCTCCTTTTCATTCCAGCGTGTTTAGTGCACTGGCTTCAAGGTGCTGTACACTGCCACCAATTCTAAGGCTGGCGCTATGTGTATATTTAATTTTAATTATGTGATTCTATAAACATATAACAACTGGTTCATCAATACGGTAGCAGCTGCTAAGTTGGAGGAAAACAACACAAATGGCTGATTATATTCATTTACAAAGATGCCACGTACTGTAAATACATTGAAGCATCACACTACAGTAGGGCGTAGAGTGGAGTCAGGCTATACAAAAGATGGAATTATCAAATGGCAAGTTTTTCTCTTTAATTGCTTTTCTATTAACACAACGAACAAGGAAGGTTTCTACCAGCGACACTGATGCCAATGTGAAACTCTGCAGTATACAGAGCATCACATGAATGTTGGTGAGGTGTCGTCTGGCGGGTACTCCCACTAACAAGTCGCGTACACTTTAGCTTGTATACCATGGTGAAGGAAATATGAAGACGGATGAACTAATTTTGCATTAGAGGCGAGTGATTCGATGGTTAATTATTGACCGAGGCCTTAAAAGGCGTTCACTACAAGTCTACCATAACAATTAATGTATAATAGGTATCAATAATCTTGATAATGAAAATACAAGAAAATATTAAGAAATTAGTTATTTGAATCGTGCTCACCTAACCTAAAAAAAAGGTGCTTCTCTTTTTTTTTTTTAAATTCCAGTTATAAAAAGGTTTGAGTTCAAATTTTACGGCAAAAAAAAACACAATAACTAAATAATATCCAGACCTGACAACCTTAGCAACATGTTATATTAATTTGTATGAGGAGACTACATTATGTTTATTCCATGGAACGATGACACTTGGCCACTGTGAACCTGCAGAATGTACCGGCAGTAACCCATGACAAAATTTAAAGGTGCTTCATCGCACACACTGTCACGTGATCTGTAAGGTTGTGACCATTTGGTGACCTGCAGCTGATACAGACGTTTAGTCTCGAGTATCGTGTAATGTGGCTCGAAAACTGTCCACTCAATCTTCACCAAATTTTGAAAGACACGATCATGAGGAAACAAGGCAGGTTTTAATACAAATATAAAAGAAGAGGATAAAAAATGGGACTATTAGATAACGCGGGACGCTATTCTCAAGTCAGCACGAAAACGCCGAGTTACAGAATTTTATTTTCTAACAGTGTCCCAGTTTTTTCTCCATTAAAATTTTTCGTCATTAGAACTTCTCTTGATTCTACCGGAGTATGACGGCAAAATTTAGTGATGACTGACTGGATAACTTTTGGTTCATGATAACAAATATTACTTATATAATGGTGTACAGTACCCCTATGACAGAAGCTCGCCAGATGACATCAAGATGTAAGGTGTGCAAGACTGTTGAGTTTGAGCACATGGCCGCAACACCCCCCCTCTCCCTGTACCATGACATTGACCACCAGATTACTTCATAAACAAATGCTCTTGACCTTCCTCTCATAACTGCATTACACCAAAGCATCTTAGAAAACTCATACTTACAGGCTAAATGTTTTTTTTTTTTCACGGGGAATAACCCACCCGGGCACAGGTCATCGAGCCACAATGGGGCCATGCTATTCAGAAATATAATAAATTACTAAGTCACTTCTCCATTAGCCGGAACAATTGGTGCAGAGCAAATCTGGGAATGAGATTTTTTTCCAGGTAATGACGACTCTCAAATCCGAAAAAATTACCCCATCCCCAGAAATTTTCCAGGTACCGGAAAAGTTCTTGGAATTTTCCGGAAATTGCACATTATTTCATCCTCGGAATTTGCTCCCAGACCCGGAAAAAAATGAAGTTTCCGAAATTTTCTCTGAACTTAACATTTCTCGAACCCGGGAAAAATCTCCCATCTCCGGAATTTGGTAAAATTTTAGTTTTGGTCATCCCTGTATTTAGATATCCAATGTAACCTAAAGTAACCAAACCTAGCCACATAACTCAGGAACTATATTTAACCTAACTGGGAGACCTTTGCTCCCTAAGACTCCCCCCCTTTCTGGTGAGGGATTAAATTCCCAAGATTCCCCAGATGACTGAAATTAAAATAATACCCCAAATTTTTACGGGTACCGGGAAAATTTTCTTGGAATTTTCGGGAAATTTGCCTGATTTTCATCCTCGGAATTTATTCCCAAACCCAGAAAAAATTGGAGAGTTCCCAGAAATTTTCTCATAATTGCCCCCCTTGGAAAATCGTTCCCAAATCTGGAATTTGAAGTTTCGGAAAAATTCCGAGCAAATTTCAATTCCGGCTATCGGAGAGTTCTGGCTAACGGATATATTATTTGTATGCTTATAAAATTCACAAACATATTAGTCATTTAAGAGGGTTATATGTCAAAATTTCTGTGATGCGAGACAATGATGCTCTTTGGAAATTTTCATGACATGTTGCAAGGAGATTAACTATTACTGTGACACCTAGCTTCGTACACATACACAGTTATAAAAACAAAGGCAAAAATTGGTTAGTCATAATTAGTTGCACGCCATAACCACATACATTTCACGATAAAATTAATGCTTTCTTACCGCATAAAACCGAAGAAAAAAATGCACAAGCAATACGTTTTGCATAATATAAATTTCACGATTTGTTTTTCTCGAGAACACAATTCTACGAGCGCTTCCTCTAATGCTGTCATGACTCCCTCCCTACTTTCCCGGTGGCTTACATAGAAATATTTTTCCAAATACGATAATTATAGAAGACATTTTTATTAATTTACATCAAGTAAGGTTAGGATCTGTATATTTGGTTTGGTCTGGTTGGTTAGATTGGTTTATTTTATAAATTATAAATCATATTGCGGCTGCCTGAATGACTCCTTTCCTTTCCTTTTTTTATAGATAATAAAAACTAATACTTCAGGTTAGGTTAGGTGTGGTTTGGATAGGTTAGGTCATGATGGTTTTTTCTTTAATGTTAAACCATATACCATCAGTATCATTATCTGGTAAGTTGTTCCTTTGGTGTATGAACAGATGCCAAATTTTTCATTAAATTGAAAGTTTGTTACACTTAAGGAATCATGTCACGTTCTAGCTGTTCTATCAATGCTCCAACTGTTTGACACGTGTCTGGCGAGAAGAAAGCTGAAGTCTTGCTTTTTGACCACGGTCTTCTATGTGTCGTCACTGTGATATGAAAACAAGATGGCGGCTGTAGAATCAAGCATCGCATTACCTGAACCCGGAAAAAATCGTAAAATTCAAATCCCACTAAACGTTTATTGCTCGTGCTTGTTTCGTCGTTGTTATGAGTTTAGAAAGCATTTATGTTCTATGGTATAATTTCATACAGTAGGTAGTTAAGGCGCGCAACTCATCTTGACTATTAAAGCAAAATCTTAATTAAAGATAAGAAACAATTTTAATTTCTCACCAATAACGAACACTTAACAACCTGAGTTCGTGTGTTCTCGCCCCACAACACATCAACCTTATTACAAACGTGATGATGAGTTTTGAGGATCACTGTGAAATAATATTTTTACATACCGGTATAATCTTATTTCTATACGGCCCAATTTCTTAAAGTTACTGTGAATAAACATTTCCTAAAAGCATATAGTTGATTTTATCCTATGAACTGTTTAGGCGTCGAAAATAATCTCATCCTATTAAAAGTAAGTTGTAGCCACCTAAATAGTACAGTAATACGGCAGCTAGTCTCCATAGACTGTCTTGTAGCCGAGAACAAAGGTAACGTTTTACCCACTACAGTTAAGTAACCAAGAGTGAACGAGAAAGTGTTCCAACAAGGGAGAAAATGAACCCTGGCACTAACACACGCCCCTGAAAATTTCAAATCTGTAAAATTATTTATTCCTCACGTAAGTCAATAATGGAGAACGTCGAGGCCACGTTGAGTTCACCGTAAATTTAGATTCACCTCTTGCTCATTTCCTCCTTGACCACCTGGCTTAGCACAGCTCCTGTTGGTATGAGGCAGTAACAAGAGTGCCAGCAATATATATACATATAGAAAGTTGCTACGGAAGATATAAATTAAATACTGAACGAATCCAGTAACAAAAGTCAAGCTAGGCCCAGGGAGAGGAGAAATCACTCACGATGTTGACTTATCTTACTAAGTAGTATTTTAATAGATCACAGGTCGAGTGCTGAAATTTAAATACTTTGCAAGGAAAAATGAAGAGCAGGGTACCTGGCTATATTGTACTTACAGTATAATATCGAGAGAAATTTTGATAGGTTCCCCTACGATAGGATATGTGTGTGTGAGGTTGTACTTTCGCATTCTCTATTTACGGGGCAAATGACAGTATATAAAGAATATCGGTATGTGAATATACCTCTTACAGTGGTACAGCAGCGAGCAGCACAGACTGGAGGAACGTCACGCCCAAAAACAAAAAGGTATCAGGGGCGGTTCCAAGGGGGGTGGGGGTTCCTGGGGATCCGGACTCCCCCTTTTCATCAAAAAATTCCATTACTTTTTCTTTAATGCAGCATTGTACTCAGGCTTTAATGTTTAGTAAAAAGTAATTACTATTGACCTCAGAATATCTCCTAATATCAAGTGGGTTCAAAATGGTCTCAAAATGCCCAGGATATTGGTCAGATTTAAAAACGAAATTCTGGGTGGTTCGCTGTGCTCGCCATGTTCCCCCACTGACAACTTCTTGGACGCCCCCTCCCCATTTTATATTCCTGGATCCGCCCCTTGGTACCCAAGCTTATTTTGATCAGTATCATCGATTCATCAGAAGTTAACCTTCAAACCTTGATCACCAGAGATTGGTCACGGACTCTATTGGAGGATCCTTTACTAGGGCAACCACGGAAGAAAATGATAGGAAATTGAAATTCCTATGGCGGATATGGGCTATTCTCTATGTAAGGAGTAACTTCTCTTTTCCAAAATCTTTTATTGTACCTAGATTACATATGCAAGAACGGAAAACTAGTACTCTAGACTCTAGAGCAGTGGTTCTTAACCTTTTTACTACCACGCCCCCTCTAGGAATTGGTCCTTCCCTCCACGCCCCCCTTGCATCTATGAACAAAACATAAGGCACGTGTAAGGTAAGATAAACATCACCACGTGCTCATGAACACCACAACATCATGATGATCACAACCACATGATCAATAACAAACATATGATCGTAAAGTTCGTAAACACTACAAGTGACTACAATCATACATGATCATAAACACCACCATATCATTAACAAACATCACATGATCATAAACACCACATGATTATTAACAAACATCAATGATCACAACATGATCATAAGCACCACTACACATAATTATTAAGTAAATATTAACAAACACCACAACATTATAGTAAACACATCATGATCATAAACAATGATTATTAAGAAACAAATCAATATCATCATAAATACAACTTTACCATAACCACCTGTTACCACCACATGATTTTAAGCACCACCAACTTCTGATAAAATACAAACGGAATTCAAAACTTGCGAATAACAAACAGAGCAACACATGCGTGTTCACAATTCACCAATAAACTTATGGCTGCTTACTATTTTTAGGTAAATATAACAACTGGGATAAAACATACCTCAACAGCCTGAACTGAATTAATGTGAGAGAAGAGGAATTATTGCCACGGACGTGTGCAGAAGACTGGGAGAGAACGGGGCTCACCAGTCACCAACGAGCAGTATACAGGTCCAGGACGAGGTAACCCCCCCCCCCATGGGTTTCGAGGGATAGGGAGGGGTCAATAAGTACAGAAAATGGTAAGCCCTAAGTAAAAAAAGTAGCCTATAGAAAACTAAAGTTATAAGGCGATACTTTTGCATTTTTTCATAAACTTCTCAATATTAGCCCACGCTCTTGTTAAGAGAATAAAAACTATAATTATAAATAGAGAAATTCCTACTTTTTCCCTAGGGCTTGCGTCCCCCCCTGGAAATTACTGACGCCCCCCAGGTTAAGAACCACTGCTCTAGAGAATGTATCGTAATTAATGTATCTGGTGTTGGAACTGCGAACAAGATATTTTGAATTTTTCCTTTCTACAGTTTGGCCCGTTGTCAAAATGGCAAATATTCAGTGGAATACAACCACGGAACTTTATATCGATTTGTATATACAGACATAGAAAAATAATAATAGTTTAATTTATACCGTTTTGGCGCAAATTTGAAATTTTCCAGTTTGGTTTTTCTAATTTACCGAAGTTGTACAAGTTTGACCGCACGGTTTTTAAGTACTGTAGAGGAAAATTCTAGGAAAAAACCAACCCCCCCCCCCAAAAAAAAAAAAACTACCTAACCTTGAAAATGTCAATTGCAATGGCGTTATTTACACACAAAAAAACATTGAATGGTTTGCAATTCTGAGATATCTTGCGACAGATAAATTCCAACTTGGTCATTCGCAAGAGCATCACGTGACTCTTCCACTGATTGCACTAAGTGATATCGAAAAATCAAAATAACTGGGAACAGATAAATTTACTAAAAGACGCTACAGAGTAAAGTATTCATATTTTTTCTCTATCTCCCTACATACAAATCAATATAGTTCCGTGGTTGTACTCTAATGAATCTTGACTAAGAATTTTATTTTGCATTGGATGAATGAGAATCGTGTCGATGAAGGCATACTGGAAACACTCGGGTGAATAAAAACACAGTGGCTAAGATGATTCCGGAACTACGTTATTAAATATCACCGATTAGGCTCCATGCATACTCTCCACGAAAAGTGTAAAATTACACCATGACGTTTCAATAACGTTGCTTTCATTGGTACCAGGAATTATCAAAATAGGTATTTTCTGTTTAATGTGGCGGCGGGGGAGGGGGGGGTTCCTTCTTTCGGCTATGACGTTAGGTAAGTTTCTTGGTTAAGTCAGATTCTATTAGAGGTTATTGGGGACGTTACGGTACGCTGTTTTTCACTGAAGACGAGTTAAGAAATATCCCGTCTTCACTGATTTTATTAGCGGACACTATTATGTTGTGTAAAAAAAAAATAGCTGAAATCTAGAAAACTGGTATACTGTATTTGCATTTTCAACCCATATGGCCCTCCAGTTTAGCAAAGTGTTTTACCGATGCTTTAGACAATTTTAAGACGCTTTTCTTCTGTGACGTTTCCCTCGCAAATGACTTATAATTACCTAACCTAACGGGGAGGAAGCTCCGCCCAAGGTAGGTAGATAACAGGCAGCCTCACGCAGGCCCATAGGAATTCACTAATTGGCAACTCTACTCTCGAGATCGCTAAGCCACGCCCCTTTTGCCACTGTAATACTGTATTGTGGTATAATAAGCCTCCAAAAATACGTAAATAAAAATTTCATTTTTCTGTTCATTTCCCTCGATCCTAAATGACTTATAATTACCTAACCTAACGGGGAGGAAGCTCCGCCCAAGGTAGGTAGATAACAGGTAGCCTCAAGCAGGCCCATAGGAATTCACTAATTGGCAACTCTACTCTCGAGATCGCTAAGCCACGCCCCTTTTGCCACTGTAATACTGTATTGTGGTATAATAAGCCTCCAAAAATACGTAAATAAAAATTTCATTTTTATTTTCATTAGCGTAGATCCTATGGGAGTGAGGCTACCTGTTATCTACCTACCTTGGCTCCGCCCCCTGGGTCCCCCGGTATATTTAAGTCATTTGCGAGAGAAAAGTTACCACGGCCGAAATAGCCTAAAGGCGAAGTGGCCAGCAATCCCCAAACAAGAAAAGTTATAGAAGAAATGTTTTAAAATTGTCTAAACCATGGGAAAAACACATTGCTCAACTGGAGAGCCATATTGGTTGAAAATGCAAATTTACCAGACAACTAAGCATTTACACAAGAAAATGAATAGAACTGAAAGTAATCATCGCACAAAACTATTTCCAAAAACACTACCCCCAATAAACACTGAACCGCTGACAGCCACGTCTCGTATATTAACCATTGGCTGTTATTGAGTTGTTTACATCTTCCACATCACAGCTGATGAGGCGAGTGCAAGTAATGCTATCTTACTCGCCTATATTAAAACTAAGCATCTATACAAGAAAATTAATAAAATTGAAAGTAATCAAAACATCCCCCCATAATTACCGAACCGCTGGCGGCCGTCGCGAAAATTAGCCCTATTAGGTTCTCGTAAATCTCGCCTCTTTTAAAATACTTACTACAATGATAAGAACATCTGTGGAAAAAAATAAACGAAATCGAACAATTCCTTCTGGTGGTAATGCTGCTCTCAGACATTACCCAATCTTTTACTACTCATTATGATCATACGGTCATACCTGATTGGGGACGGCAATTAGTGGTGGCAATACCGTGGGAAGGAAGCCAATGGCCGGTGTAGACTCCCTTCATTGTTCTTGGTAGTCTTGTCAAGGGTTATTTTGAAGCCTAGCCCGGTGTTGGTAGCTTGTTCTATAGGTCTACCACCCTCTGCGGGTAAGTCTGCATACAGTTGAAAGATCATTTTCTTATAATTATGTTGCACTGCCTTTAATGATGGTCTATCGCGGAGCCTAGATCTTTTTCCTTTTCAAGTTCCAAGAAAGTTATCCACAGAGTACCCTGT